CCTCCGGTGTCAGTACCCTCAGCACCAGTACCTCCAGCGACTCCAGAACCTCCAGCGCGAGCACCCTCAACAGCTCCAGGACCTCCAGCTCCAGCGCCACCAGGACTAGGCCCTCCAGCAGCTCCTGAACCTCCAGCGCCAGCACCCTCAGTAGCTCCAGAACCTCCAGCGTCAGTACCGCCAAGCTCAGCACCCCCAGACCCCTCACACGCAGGCTCAGCACCACCAGGCTCTACACCCTCAAGCTCCGCACCCTCAGGCTCAGTACCCCCAGACTCAGCACCCCCAGGCTCCGCACCCCCAGGCTTAGCACCCCGAGCAGGACCACTCGCAGGAGGACCTGAGTCACCAGTGACCTCAACCGGCGCAGTCAAGGGAGGAAGGTCTACCTGAGAAACACCTGAAGGAGCAGGACCGGGAGCGGAGAGGGGGTCTACCTGGGGAGCACCTGGAGCAAGGAAGAGCGGCGGGGGGGGGAGCGAGGCAGTGCGGTAGGGGAAGAGACGGTAAAAGGGAACCGACTCGTCGAACGTGACGTCCTGAGACGCAAAGACACGGCGCGAGGTGGGGTGGTAAAACTGCCAACCAGGCGCGTCAGGGACAAAGCCAAGGAAGACACAGGGAACAGCGCGGGCGGAGAGCTTGTCCGCGGTGGTATCGCGGACAAAGGCACGAGCACCCCAGACCCGGAAACGCGACGCATCGCCAACCTTCCCCGTCCACAGCAGTGTGGGCGAAGTCTCCGGCAAGGAGACACGGGGCCAGAGGTTGAGCTGATGCGCGGCGTACCGGACCGCAAATGGCCACAGAAAATGGGGGGCAGCCGCATGGATCATGGAGGTACGAGCGACCTCCATGACTAAGCCAATGCGGCGCTCAGCAACCCCATTCTGCTGCGGAGAGGCCGGAAGCGTGAACGACTGGGTGATGCCGTGCTCCGCACAGTAGGCTGCCAAGAGGTCGGAGGAGAACTCACCACCTCTGTCAGAGTGCAGACGCAGGACAGGAAAGTCCGACCGGAACCGCTCGCGGAGCTGGAGACGAACAGCGCGGATCCAGGGGATCAAAACAGCAGGGACGTCCCCCTTGCTCTGCAAGGGGAAGACCGTGGTGTAACGCGTGTAGTCGTCGACGACCAGCAGGAAGTACCGCTCGCGGCCCTGTCCCTGGACGCGGGCTGGGCCCCACACGTCCAGGTGGAGCGTCTGCAGTGGAGCCTCTGTGGGAGGAAACGAGGAGGAGTGAGGAGCGGCGCGCTGCCGCCCCTCGACGCAAGGAATGCAGGGCGGCGCAGGCGAGGGAGGGAGGGCAGGCAGGGACCTGGGAAGACCAGAGACCAGGGAGCGAGAGTGCATGCTACGCAGGCGAGGCAAGGAGGGGTGACCAAGGCGGTGGTGCCACAGGAGAGTGTCGTGCGACAAAGCGCGACACTCGCAGGGGGCCGCCAGCTGACCAGACGCAGACGCAAACGCAGACGCAGCTACCTGAGGGGACTCAGTGGTCAGTGTGTACAGACTCGAGCCAGGTGCACGGGTGAACGTGGCCAAGTGCCGGCCCGTCCTAGCACACGTACAGTGAGTCACTCGCTGACTCGCAGGAGTGAACTGGTGAACCCCCCCATCCTGGAGGTCAGCTCCACTCACCAAGTTCGTAGAGAACGAGGGGAGGTAAAGACCTGACAGCGAGCCGGACGGGACGGCCGGACACGGCAGAACCGTGGAATAGTGGGCAAGGACTGGACCCCCAGAGGGGTCCGCCAGGGAGACCGGGACTGGCCGACGGAGCGGCGTGAGTGCGGTGCAGTCGCGAAAGAAGGAGCGGGAAGCTCCTGAGTCAAGGGTGAAGGTGTGCGAGACCGTAGTGGGCGCAGTACCAGAGAGAGCAGACACAGCAGCACCTGAAGCCACGGCCTCACCAGTACCTAGAGCAGTAGACGTACTAGCACCGAGAGCAGCAGCCTCACTAGCACCTAGAGCAGGAGACGCACTAGCACCTAGGGCAGCAGCCTCACCAGGGTCAGGCGGTACGCACAGGCAACAGGCACGGTCAGCACTAGTAGACAATGCATACATGGCAGTGAGAATAGCATCATAGTCAAGCGCAAAGATATCTACCCTCTGTCTATGCAGCTCCAGCCAGGTGGGGAGCTCAGCCTCGTCGCCAAACACTGTGCGCCAGTCGTCGCTCAGACGGGCGAAGCAGCGGGACTGTGTGTGACCAAGCGTCCCACAAGGCTGACCAGTCCTAGCACCTGTGCGAATGACGTACGGGCAGCGGACTGTACGCGTAGACCTGCTACACTGAGCGTACCACTCCTGGAGCTGCCGGGGCGTAAGTGTCTCACGTGGACGTCCCTGCAGCTGCAGCTGGCCACTGCCGGACGCTCCCAACTGACCAGCTCCAGGGCGACAGCTACGACGGCTACCGCGACAACCCCAGCTAGTATACCACTCACTAAGCTGCTGGGGCGTCAGAGGCTCGCGTGAATGTCGCTGGAGCTGCATCTGGCCACCTGCCAGTAGCAGTAGCGCAGGCAAGGCAGGCGCGGCAGGCAGGCAGGCAAGCAGGCAGGCAGGCAGGCAGGCAGGCCGGCAGGCAGGCAGGCAGCCAGGCAGGCAGGCAGGCAGGCAGACAGGCAGGCAGGTAGGCAGGCAGGCAGGCAGGCAAGTAGACACGCAGGCCGGCAGGCAGGCAGGCAGGCAGGCCGGCAGGCAGGCAGGCAAGCAGGCAGGCAGGCAGACAGGCAGGCCGTCAGGCAGGCAGGCAGGCGCTCACCAAAGGCTGGGAGAGCAGGGCCGGCGCTCGAGTATGCGCACGACAGCGGCGACGTCGGGGCCGCAAAACCGGCTGCAGAGCAGGGCCGAAACAGCTGTAGAGCGGGGCTGCGTCAGCGGCAGTAGCAGGTCGGGGCCGTGGCAGCTGCAGGGCGGGGCCGCATCAGCGGCAGGTCGAGGCCATGGCAAAGGGCCGCGCGCGGCCGCGCTAGGGAGTAGCGGGCCGCGCGCGGCTCGGCGCGGGCTGTTGCGGGCCGCGCGCGGGCCGTGCGAGGCAGGAGCAGGCCTCGCGCGGCTCGGCACGAGCTGCTGCGGGCCGCGCGCGGGCCTCGCGAGGCCGTAGCAGGCCGCGCGCGGCTCGACGCGGGCTGCGCGGGCTCGGCGCGGGCTGCGCGCGGCAGCTGCGAGCTGCGCGCGGCTCGGTGCGGGCTGCGCGCGGTTGCAGCGGGCTGTGCGCGGCTCGGTGCAGGCTGCGCGCGGCTGCAGCGGGCTGCGCGCGGCTCGGTGCGGGCTGCGCGTGGCTGCAGCGGGCTGCGCGCGACTCGGTGCGGGCTGCGCGGTCTCGGTGCGGGCAGCGCGCGGTAGCAGCGTGTGTGCGGGTCTTACGGGCCTGACAGGCGTGTAGAGGCGGCGCGCGGGCCTTACGGGCCTCTAGGGGCAGCGCGCAGGCAAGGCAAGGCAAGGCAAGGCAAGGCTACGTGGGGTAGCGCGGTAACCGCAGCGGTAGGTGGGCCCGAAAAAAAAAACGGTCCTACGGACCTTAGTGCTCTGAAACCATGTTAGAATCTAGCAGCAGGAATGGGTGAACTAACAGGATGCAGGAGTACAAGTACCGTCATACCCCGGATATACCCCCATGGGGGGCAATAATAAAACAGGTTTTTTTAGGGGGGGTGGGCTTATAATCGGGTAAATTTATAAGCGCCGGCGTTTATAAAACGACATATATATTTTATATATTTTTTAACACCAAGCTGTAGATCTCGTGCTTGCATTTTCAATCGAGTCGAAGTTACATGGGGTCGTCTGTGAAATTCTCGCGCGCACTGGGAGATACACCAAATCTGACAGCTTCTGACAGCTTCTGACAGCTCCTGACAGCTCCTGCTGACTGGACCCGCATCCAGTGCAGGGTCCGAATGTGAAGGGAACCGAATCTGGAGACATCCGCCTGCTAAAGTAAAATTCGTTACAAGATTTTGAACACATTTCAAGAATTAAAGTTTACGTGCGCTTATAATAAAACAGGTTTTTTTCAGGGGGTGCGCTTATAATCTAGCAGCGGATATAAGCGCCATGCGCCAATTAAAAGCGCCAGGCGCTTATCCAAGGGTGGCGCTTATATCCGGGGTATGACGGTAGTAAACCCTAACTAGGTTGTACCCCATATGGGCTACCCCACTACAGCCTAGACAATATGCAGCACATATAGTTTGACATCGTCGCCACTGGCGCCACAGGCGCCGAAGGGTGCTGTTGGAGGGGGGTGCTCGAGTCGTTGTTGACCTCGAGCCCGCCCAACAGCACATCCACTGCAGTCGGGGCGGGCGATCCTTCCTCTGCCCGCCGCTTGTTACGGCGTTCGCCCGTCAATTCTCGGGCGTTACGGTCGGGGTCGGAAGTCGGGGCCGACGAATTGCCGCGGTTAAGTGTCGGCGTAGACGCCATAGTTGAGCGATTGTAGGTAAAAATGTCGCGCAGTAAACTTGAGGGTGACACGCCTCTCGGTAGGCTGCGAGTTCTAGCCAGCTTGGACGGAAGCAAAAAACTACTCGAACGGAATGTTGATAGAGCCGTTGAAAATAGAGAAACGTGGGTGGAGGGAAATGAACTCCAACCCACGGTTTTTGTAGTTGGAGAAGGGCGTTTAGCGCGCTTCGACGCTGCCAAATATTCGGTACAGGCAGCTTCGCTTTCACAATACACAATTTTGAAAAACACGAATGTGTTTAAAAATTATAATGTTGTGTAGTACGATATATGGAAATTCATCTTCTAGTGAGCACTACACTACCGTACTTTCCAGCTGACGCAATGAAAAGCCAGTAGTAAAACTGTGTGTGCATGTGCCATCCTGCAACCTCACATGACTTGGGCCTACCTTTCCATTCCACAGCTTGCTACTTCCAGTAACCTAACCACTCATAAGAAGCATGGTAATATAGGCACATGGCTGCAAAATTACAGAAAAACACACCATTTTTCTGCATAACACAGCATCACAGTTCAAGCAGTGGCAGTGACGGTGCGGTGGCGCGGGTCAGAGAGCACAGTGGTGACGTGGGTGAAGCCCAGGTCCTTCATCATGCCCTCCAGATTGCACAGGTAATAGCTGTCTGAATGCGGCTCTGTTGACTTCATCAGCGCTGCCACTGGTGCTGGCAGGTTCTGCACGCGTGGCGGGCCAAGAGGGAGAGATGCGGTGGAGTGTGGTTGGGGGCGATCAGGCACGGTGCAGTCCGATGTTGGTGAGAGTGAGAGTGCGGAACGTGAGGTAGTTTTGAGTTGACTCAGAAGTGAGAAGAGCAAGCGGGTCATGGGCCGAGATGGGGATGGTGGGAGTGCAGTGGTGCTGGAAATAGGTAGAGTCAAGTGAACAAGAATTACTGATGTGGTGTGTAAGTTGCGGCGTTACCTGAATGATTTTTGACTTTGGCTGCAGACACCATGCGGCAGTCACGGTTGGAAGAGTGGCCCAGCCAGCAGCAAGCAGGGAACACAGGGGTGGTGTGCAGGGAAGAGCAAGGAGAACAGGGTGGAAAAGGTTCAGCTTATCGAAGAGAACAATACTAGAGTGCCACGGAAGCTACCCGTGTGGAGGATGCATGCACGCAGCAGGGTGGGGCAGGGCAGGACAGGACAGGACAGGGCAAGACAGGGTGGGGCAGGGAAGGTTAGGAGGGCAGGGCAGAGCACGGCAGGACAGAGCAGGGCATGGGAGAGCAGGGGAGGAGAGGACAGGGTAGGACAGGGCGGGGCAGAGCAGAGCAGAGCAGGCACTGACCGAGTTGTCAGTGAAGGAGACGGTGCCACCCGGTTTGAGCAGCCTCTTGGACTCTGCCAGCAGACCCCTGATGGCATCCGGTGGACACTCGTGGAACTGTGCACACGGGAGACACAGTGTGAGCGAGGGCATGGGAGGGAGAAGGGGGTGCTTGCTTGAAAGAGCAGCAGGGGCGAGAGGGTGGCTGTGGATTGGATGGGGCAGACACTGGATGGGGGAGAGAGAGAGAGGTATGGAAGCTGAGGCAGTGCAGGCAGCACAGTACCACAAGCAGCTGTAGAGTAGAGTGCGGTGGGGACTGGCGGAGTGTGGTGGAGAGCTGAGACATACAACGAAGGCGAAGGAGATGAGGTCGAAGGAGTTGGAGGGCATGTCAGTGTCCTCTCCGAGGGCGTGCACCCAGCGGATGGGCTTGGCGGGGTTGCCCCCCTGCAGCTGCACTGCCGCGTCCTGCTGCTGCTGCTTCGCACGCAGCGACGCCACTGCGAGGAAGTATGCAGATGCGTCCAGACCCTGATGTGTGGGACGGCGGGGAAAGCGCAGTGGTGTGAGTGTTGATGGTGGGGAGTGGGTCATAGGAGCAGGGAGAGGAGGAGGGATGCAGTGGTCAAGTGAGACGCAGATGAAGGCACCATGGAATGAGAGAAGCACACACTCCATCAGAACCTCCCACACACTCCATCACTCGCTCCCTTACCCCCTCACGCATTGCAGCGCCCTCTCAACCCCCCTCACTCCCTGCTGCAGCAGCACCCCTGCGCGCTACTCACGGTGACGTCAGCCTCGGGGTAGTAGGAGGCGAGCCAGCGCGTGCTGACGCCCACGCTGCACCCCACGTCCAGCACCGCCTGCACGGGCGCGCCCCCCGCGTGCGCCGCGTGGTGCGCCTGAATGGCGTCCAGCCACCCCAGGCGCAGGATGCGCGCTGCCTCCTCCGCGGAGTCCGCCCACGGGATGGCGCGCCGGCACATGGACAGCGTCGCCGCCTCCACCTCGTACGCCGCCTAGGGGAACGCGCACGCGCGGGATGGCGGGGTGCAGGGGACGGGGTGCGGGGACGTGGGGGGAGCACGGGGTAGGACCGTTGTGACAGAAAGAGAGGGAAGTGAGGGCAATGCTTACAAGCCCAAATTACCCAAACTATGACCCCCTTCCATCATTGCCCTCCTGCTGCCAGCCCTAAATTCACGTTGCTCCCCATTTGTCCACCTCATCACAATCCCCTTCTCCCCCTTCCCCCTTCCACCCCCCCCCCTTTACCCCTTCCCCTCTCTTCGCCGGCCGCGCGCTCTCACCTCCCAGCAGAGATTGCCTTGATCGTACGCGTGGAAGGGCTGCACGTAATCTGCACCGCGCCGAGCGTCAGGGCGGGCGGGTGGGCGGGGAGGGTGGAGAAGAAGAGGGGCACCACAGCGGAAGGGCGCGAGGAGCATGTGAGCGATGAAGGGTGGTTGGGAAGGGCGGGGCGAAGGGGAAAGCTATTTACAGCGACGACTATGGGTCATTAATCAGCCTGGCACTCTCTTCATCTGCACTTCCCAAGGCGAGGAGTGGCAGCTGGCGGCAGCTGGCGGAGTGGGAGCGAGGAGCGCTCAGCGCTATTCAACCTAATCGAACCACACAGCGGAACCACCCCCGCGACTGGCTAATGAGACTCGCGCGATGCGTGTGCCGTACGCGGCGCTCACATTCAGGGTAGACGATGTCCTTATTCTCCAGCGCCTCCTTCTCCGCCACCAGCTCCGGCGACTGCTGCAGCTCCTCCGCTATCTTGCGCCACGGCACGCCGCTCTTCTCCGCCGTGCTGCGCGCGCCGCGCGGAAAAACAACGGATGAGCGGATTTGTGACGCAATTTGGCGTGGGGAAGAAGGGGCAAGGGGAGGATGGGGAACGGAGGGGCGAAATGGGCAAGTGAGGATAGTTGCGGCGAAGTGACGAGAGGGGGATAGTAAACGGGGAAATAACGTAGGCTGGTTTGCCGCGGCGTCTGAGGCACACGTGAAGGGCGAGACGCATGGACATCGAGCGGCTCTCCGGTCCGACGCCGCGACGCAGCACAAGAGCACAAGCGCAGAGCTTGAAGGGTGAGTCTGACAGCGCGGGAGGAGAGTACATGCGCCCACTTCCACCCCCGGAAAGTGCCGCAGCAGCATTACGGCGCTAACACTAACGATAAGAAAGAGCGAACTAGCTCGACATACAGGATCTAAAAGGTTCTGCAAGGTCTCGAATTGGCCAAGATAAGAGTGGGGCTTTTCACAAGCAAGCATGTTTTCCCAGTGCCCAAATCTGTGGCGCCGTCACTTATCGGCTACAGCTAAACCATCACTAGCGTTGCGACAGGATGGGATGCCGTTGGGGATAAGGAAGTTTGGAGGAACGCGAGGTCCTGAAGCGAACCATCTCTTCACCCGCATGTCACCATCACAATCACTGGGCATTGCCATTATCTCGAGCACAAGTAAGCCGCACCGCACCTTATGAGCACCTGGCGCGCGCCGATCTTCATGAGGTCGTACAGCGGCTTGATCCCGATCACCGCGTTCACCATCCTCGAAAACGTCGTCTCGCCCGTCCACTCCGGCGTGTCTCGCTCTCCCTCCGCGTACTCCGTCGGCGCCATGGCGGCTCGCGCTGCACCGGCGTTCCGTTGCGTCGCGGATCTGCTTCTGCTTGTGCTCTTGCCGCGGATAGCCGCAACGCCGACGGCTGTGATCGACGAGGAGCTGATAGGTGGGTGGCATCTGTGACCGGCAGCAGCAGCCGCATGGGTGGGCGCGGCGAGCTTGGGGCACGGGACGCACGCGGAGGCGACGGCAGCGAGCTCCATAGCGGCGAATGAGTGAATGGAAGCGGATAAGTTGAAGCCTGGAGGCTTGGCGAGTCTAGGATACGGACTTCCGTACCCGAAAGATAGATATCTCGCAACTAAGGACGTCGTCAAAACAGTTGCGTCCGAGGCAAATGCCGATATTTGAGACCACTCCGAGTTATATGCCTGTCGTCCTCATGTGTTTGCCAGATTCACCCATCGAAATTCCCAAGGCGTGACCCTCTTCCGTTGTGCTTTGCCACGGTGTGCCTCGGTGTACAGTAGCACATCCCAGACCCGAGGGCATCCTACTCGTCCGAGGCGCGAGAAAGTGGGACTCTAGATTCGCCCGAGCTGAGCTGGCGAGGTCGCTGTCGTCGCATTGGTGGAGCAACCCTCGAGGAGCATCGCCCATGCCGTGGAGGCTTCCAGCGCGGACCGTGCGCGCTGGCTTCTTGCCTCTTACTGGGCGACGCTTTTGTCGCTGGCGGAGGTCGGATGTGTGTCACGTGGCAATATCTGAGATAAGTACATCCACAAAGGGTTTTTCCATACTTCTTACAAACCCACGCATCAAAATTGCCAACCAGGGTCCGTGCTTCACTAAAAATATTAATGGGCAGATGCATTTCACAAATATAAAAGTTGCGCTTCTTGAACGTGTTAGCGCCTCAAATAAGGAAAGGAATAATATTTCCCATTGAACCAATTGATCATGCAGGCAGGCATTCTGAAGTAAGGAACATCTATTACGAAATAATGTCACCCCTATAGTCAACCATCTAAAATGTCTGTCCACCCTTCCGGCACTCTCCCTTCATCATCCCCCAGCAGTGCTGCCACTCCTGCCACCACAGAGGCGTGCACACCTTGCACCACTGACGCTGCCGTCGCCCCCGCCAATCCACCCTCCGCCACATCCCCACCCACCTTGACCCCTTCCACCACAACAACCCCTTCCCCCACCATCCTCCACAGAGTTATTCGCTCCGCCTGTTCAGCTGCTCCGCTCTCCCTGCCAGCCTGTGCCATGCTGCCAGCTGGCACAGATGCGTCACCACTCACAGCTGCAGCAGCATTCCCCACATCACCTGCGGCAGCAGCAACGGGGTGTGCGGGTGCATGCATGGATGCATGCAGGCTGCTCACCAGCTGCATTGCTGTTGCAAGGTGGCACTCCCCTTGCATGGTCCGACCAGGAGTGGCTGCATCGCTTGAGACTGAATCAGACGCGACTGCATCAACCCTGTCCCCCGCTTCTCCATCCATTATCCGTCTTTCTCCACCCTGACCTCCTGCACTTAAAGCATCCAGACTGTCGCCATGCAACACACTCTCGTCTTCCTCCCCTGCCACGCTCGTCCTTTCTGCCCCATCCGCCACGAGCCCATGTGAGAAATGCTCAACCGATGCAGCACCGTCTGCTGCACTGTCAGCAACAGCGGTTCCACCACAGTCGCCTCCAGACGCGCGCTGGCAGGCACACGAGGCATGCGCCCCTGCTTCACATGGCCCATTGCCGCACCCACACCCACTGCCATTGTCATTACTACTGCCATTACCACCGCCACTGCCAGTACCACTGCCACACACACCGCCACCGCAGCAATTCACAGCAGCAGTGCCACTGGACCCAACACAGGCCCCGCCCTGTGCTGCACCTGGTGCGCCTGAGGGCCCACTTGCACCACCCCCTTGCTCCGTGCTGCCACCCTCTCCTCCACTTGGCCCGCGCCCCTCTCCTTCCTCTTCCTCAGTCCCCACAGTAACAGCAGCCAGGGCAGCTGTAACCACACGAGCGCTTTCTTCCTCTGCTCGCGCCCCCGCCTCTGCACTGCCCACGCCGCCCTCACTGCCCCCCCCTCCTCCTCCCGCTTCCCCACCCCGCTCCGCCCTCTGCCCCTCTGGCCCCGCCAAGTCCCCCCCCTGCAGCGCCATGGCGCGGGCAAGCTGCGCCATGCAGTGGCGGGGCGCGGAGGGGAGGCGCACATGGGATGCCACGTCTGGAGGGAGCGAGGAGAGCACACTGCATGGGGGGAGACGGCGGGGAGAAAGAGGGTGGACGAGGGAGCGGGTAATGGGGGGGGGGGAGTAGATGGGGGAGGATGGGATGAGTCATGGGAGGGGTTGACAGAACATGCGATGTGTTGCGGTGGTAACCATAGGGCGTGTGCGGTGCAGCGAGAGCACGCACGGGGGGAGGTGCGGGGAGGTGCGGGGCGAGTGAGGTAGGTGGGAGAAAGAAGACGGGTCAGGGGAAGGTGGAGCGAAGGCTGAATAGGAAGGTGAGAGAAGGGGACGACACGGCGTGACACGACGTGGCACGGCAAGGCAAGGACAGCCCCGCACCTGGCGAGTCCCCTGGCGTGCCCCCAGCGGAAGCCGTGCGCGCAGCTCTCGCGGAACCCCGCGTTGAACCCCTCCTGCGCCGCCGCCTCCTTGCCCGCCGTTATGCCGTCGCGGTACCCCAGCTGCGCGCCGCGCCGCGGGGACGGGGAGGGAGCGGCAAGAGGGACGGGGAACGAGAGGAGAAGGGAAGAGTACGATGAGCGCATCGGCAGGATACGATCGCGCAGAAGGGTTTGCGCTGACAGCACACACTTCCGCAGCGAATGGGACTTCTTGCCGTGCGAGCGTGTGAGCGTGTGAGCGTGCGAGAGTAAGAGCGAGCGTGCGAGTGTGCGAGAGTAAGAGCGAGCGTGCGAGTGTGCGAGAGTAAGAGCGAGCGTGCGAGCGCGGGTACCTTAACGAAGTTGTCGCGGCGAACCTGCGCCTCCCTGTCCCACTCCCTGAAGTCCGCGCCGCCTCCATCCACGTCGTCGAACACGTCATCGTCCAGCATGGCGCAACCACGGCGCCGGATGCGCGCGATGCGGGGAGAGGGGAAGAGTTCGCGAAGCGCGGAGAAAGCAGGAAGAGCACGCGAGCGGTGAGGGCAGAGGTGAGACGGGGAACAGGCAGAGATGTGTAGGAAGAGCGGAAATTCAGAATTGCAAGTGGTGTTTGGCAAAGCGAGGAAGGTGGAAGTGGGGGGAGGTGTCCTCCTATGGTGTCAAGTGGCGGCGATAAAAGTAACATCGCATGTCGTTTTGAGACCTTACAAAAAGTGTGACCTTCCACTGTTTACAAAAAATGCATGGGAAAGGGAACCAAACTGGCCCCTGACTACGGTAATAACACTGGCCCTATGATCCTGTGCAGTACAAAATTTTCTTGCCTTTTTAACATGCAAAGTATCCCCACTGCTCCCTCCCCATGCCCTTATTGGAAAGGAGGCCGCGGACGGCGAACAAGGGGTTGCTTACTCAGCATCATGCTCTCCTCTATGCACCCTCCCAAATCCCCCTCATCAATCTCATCCCCTCTCCCTTCAAACTCACTCTCCTCTCTCTCCCCTCCATTCCCCTCAAACTCCCCCCACGCCCTACTACCCACGTCTTCTACCACCTGCACCGCACACAACCGCCCATTTCTTCCCAAATGAGCCTCCAAATCATGCATCCTTTCTCCATACCCACCCTCCACCTCCTCTACACCTACAATCCCCTCCCCTACACACTCTGAGGGCCTAGGTGAGGCGTCCTCCCACAGGGGGAACCCCCGTTGGTGCCGACTACCTACAGACCACACCACACAGCTACCCGTGCTGCCCGTGCTGCCACCCGTGCCACTCCTGCTCGCCCCCTCAGGGCTCCCCCCCTCCTCGGACTCGTCCGATCCCCTGAAGCTCTTTCCACTCCCCACCCCGCCCTGCCATTCCCCATTTGGCCCCTCTCCCTGCTGCTGCCCCTGCTGCTGCGGCTGCTGCAAAGTTGTGTTGTCTCCATCAGGAGCAGCACGAGGTGCAGAGGCAGGCATGAGCGGAGAGTCACCCAGGTCGGGCATGCACTCCATCGCTGCTGCACGCCAGCTGCCCTGCACCTCGCCGCCGCTTCTGCAGCTGCTGCCGTCCTCACACAGCAGCGACCCACACACACTCTCCCCATCCATGCACCCCTCAGCACCCACCGCCCACTCCGCTCCTTCCTCTTCCTCCTCCTGCTGCCGCCGCTGCGGCGGCTGCTTGGTCACCTTTCCATCGCTCCCCACCTCCCAGTCCCCTCCCTCTCCCCCAGACCACCACGTTTCGCGTTCTTCTCCTCCCGCTCCCACTGTTCCCACTATCTCCCCGCCGCGCTCCCCCTTGCCGTCCTGTCCATCCCCACTTGTGCCTGCACCCTCCTCCTGCTCCTCCTGCCCCTGCCCCTGCCCCTGGTTGCTCCCTCTCTGCCTGCGCCACGGTCGCTGCCGCTGCGGCTGCTGGTGCTGCTGGCCTTGCAGCAGCTGCTGTCTGGAAGCCAGGATGCCGTCATGATGGTAGTCACTGCAAGCTCGCTCTGCTGCTCTCCCTCCACCACCCACTGCCATGCCCGCATCCTCCGCACTCCCTTCTTGTGCCCCCTTTCCTTCCTCCTCTCCCTCCCTTTCCTCCTCCTCCTCCTCCTCCTCCTCCTCCTCCTCCTCCTCCTCCTCCTCCTCCTCCTCCTCCTCCTCCTCCTCCTCCTCCTCCTCCTCCTCCTCCTCCTCCTCTCCCTCCTTCCCTTCCTGAACCACATCCCCCCACACCTCATGCCCCACCCACTGCCCACTCCCCAACTGTCCGCTCCCCCACTGCCCACTCCCAAGGCGCCCACTCCCCCAGATGCCACTCCCAAGTCTCCCCGCTAGCGCGCCACTGCCCCACCGCCCACTCGTAGTGCGCAGCAGGCCCACTCCCTTAGGCGTAGCCACTCCCACCCCACAACCCATCCCCACACCCGCACCCATGCCCTCCCCCATGCCTGCTCCTCCCCCCATGTCCACCACCATCATATCCACAGCACCTGACGCCACAGACGCAGCATCATCATCGCTCACAGCAAACCCGCCGCTCAGGATGCGCAGCAGCTCGTACTGCGGCGCGTACTCATACTCCACCCTCCACCTCCTCCCACGCCCCTCCCCCTCCCCCACACGCTCCCCCCCACTCCCTTCCCCGCCGCTGCTCTCCCCATTGCCCATCCCTCCCACACCCCCCACCCCTCGTGACCCTCCCCCGGCAATCTCCCCCTCTCTCTCCCGGTGGCCCCGGTGGCCACCGGTGGTCCCTCTAGCAACGGGGCGGCCGCGGTGGTCGACCACCACCACATCTTCGCTCTCCCAGCTGCCGCCCAGGCGGTGCAGGCGCAGGCTCAGGGCGTGCGCCCACGGCTCAGGCGCGCCCTGCTGCCGCAGCCACTCTGCTGCGCGGTGCTGCGCCTCCTCCTCCTCGCTGTAGCTCACACTCTCCTCATGCTCTCCGTCTACCCCTTCCTCTGCGTCCTCCCCGTGCCCTCCACCGTGCCCCTTCATCGCCCTTTTTTCCGCCATGCGCATGCGTGCCTTGTTGCGCCGCAGCACCTCCTGCACCCATGCCTCGCTGTCCTCCCCATCATCCTCCTCCACTACCCCTTCCGCCGCCCGCTGCTCCCCTCCCTTGCTGCCGCCACCAGACCTGCCAATCTCTCTATCCCGTGCAACCTCCAAGTCTCTCTCTCCGCCTTCCCCCCTCCTCCCACCCTCTCTTCCTCGCCCTCTTTCTCCCAATACCGCCTCTGACCACTCGTCACCGTGACACACCCCCGCGTCCCCGACACGTCCTTCTGCCCCTGGGGACAGTGCACGGGCTGGCGCAGAGTCAGGAATGGCTGCTGCAGGCCTCCCACGCCCTTGTGCTGCTCCTCTACCGTCTGCTGCTCCCGTCAAGGCCCCTCCCTCTCCTATCCCTACTTGCCCATGAGTGCGTGCCCCACGCAGCCCCACCCGCCGTCCACTGCGCGTCGCTTTCACAGCACCATTGCCATCGCCACCGCCTTCGCCATCGCCTCGCATCCTCTCAAGTGCCCTTCCCTTCTGCCCTCGACCTCCCTTCTTCCTGCCACGCCCAACCTCATTACCACGGCCAGCATCACCACCAGCAGCAGCAGCAGAAGCAGCTCTCCGGTTGCTGTTTTTCCGGGGTGGTTTACCCTTGGCAGCCATGTCTTCTTCCAGCCGTGCCAGCTGCGCTAGCACCTTATCCATCCCATACACTCCCCTCGCCCCTCTGCCGCCCCACGCCCCGCGCTCCACCACACTCCCTTCCCCAAGCTCCACACCCCCCTCCACCCAACCCTCCGCCCCTACCTGCCCCTCTCCCTTTCCCCCTCCCCCTCCATCCCTCCCGCTACCCAGCCCCCTGGTCCCCCTGCCCACGCGGTGCCGCCCCCGACTGCTACCCCCCTCAGAAGCAGGGCCGGTCGTGCTGTGCATTCCACCCCCCCGCTCAATCACAATCCCGCCCAGAACCATGGCCTTGGGCGGACCCTCCGCTGCCATACCCCCCTCACTTCCGCCCGCTCCGCCATCTCCATCCACCGACGCCCCTGTTCCCCCTGCGCCTGGCGCAGCACTCCTATTGGTGGCGGCGTGCCCCCAGCGGCCAGCAGCAGTGCGTCTGAGCACGGCACCCACACACGGGTCCGACTCCACTCGCCTGTGCCGCCCCACCCTGCCCCTCCCACCCCCACTGCCAGCGCCACCCCCACCCCCACTGCCAGCGCCAGTTGCAGCAGCAGCAGCATCAACAACAGTAGCAGCAGCAGCGGCGGTGGCGGTGGCGGCAGGTGCAGCCCCCGCAGTGCGTCCCCCCTCAGCCTCACGAGGTGCAGGGCGCAGCACGCGTGTTCTCATGGTGGTGGGTGGCAGCAGGCGGGGTACAAAGACCACCTGTGCGGGGGCCAGAGGGGTAAGCACAGAGGCCGTGCTGCCATGCTCGCTGGCAGCGGGACCAGGGCTGTCCGCATTTGAGTCTGGAGTGTCAGGCGCAGCATGGAGAGGGGAGGAAGCCAGGGGCTCACTCTCTTGTGGCTCTCCCTTGCTGCGGCTGCTGGCACTCCCAGCAGCGGCAGGAGCGGCAGTGGTGGCAGTGGTATGTGCGCGCAGAGGCGAGATTATGGAACCTCGCACTATAGCCTTTCCCCCCACCAGCGCCACAGCACCACCTCCTGTGCCTGCCGACCATGCTGCCGTTGCTGCTGCAGGCAACGCCTCTTGGTCTCCTGCACATGTGCCTGATCCTGCTGATTCCACACCAGCAGCACCACCTGCTGTTGCCGCTGCCGTATCTACAGCAGTGGCAACGGCGGGAGAAGGATTGCGAGCAGACTGCACGTCCTCTGTAAGGCAAACCACCCGCACACTACCTCCACTCGTTCTGCCTCCTCCTGCTGCGCCCTCACCTGCTTCCCCTGTCCCACGACCCACCGACGCACTGCTCACAACGTCTCTCTCCGCCCCCCTTGCGCCCTTCCCCCCGCCCTCGCCCCCTCCCCATCTGAGCCCCTGCCGGAACGACCCCAGGTGTGACAGCCGCGGTACTGCTGCCCCTGCGCCCCCTGCTGCTCCGCTCCCTGCCCCCTCCGCGCGCCCTTCCCCCCTCTGCCCCGCGCCCCCCTCACTGGCGCTGCGGAACATCCTTGCTGCGCCAACCAGCGGCGCCACACCTCCCCTCGCCACCGAGCCTAACCCCGAACCAGGCAGCTTGGCCAATCTTGGCCGTAAAGCCGCTCCGGGCAAGGAGCTGATTCGCTGCACAGGCTCGGGAGGAGTGGCAGCTGGTGCGGTGGGCGCAGGGGAGGGGGTGCGCGTGTGGGAGATGTGGGCGGAGAGGGGGTGGTCGACACTACTGGCAGCGGAAGGCGGGCGCGAGTGCACGTCCAACCACCGCTCTGCCTCCGTTGCACCCCACTCCCACGCCCTCACCGCCACCGCACCCTCCCGTGCCGCCACACCACCACCCCCTCCGTCCACACTGCCTGCACGCTTCACCCCACCCCCGCCGCCGCTGCTGATCATGGCGGACGCCCCGCGTTCCCCCGCTCCAGCGTCCCCACCGTGTAACAGGGGCAGCGGTGCAGGCACGTGCTGCAGGGACTTGCTGTAGCGGTGCCCTCTCACCTGCCTGCCACCCGCGCCTGTTGACTCCTCGCCCCGCACACCACCCTGCCCACGCTCCCCCCTTTCTGAACTCGTGCTGCGGTCACCTGGTATGTCTGCTTCCGGCCTCCCTGCGTGTGGCGCTGGGCGCGTGGGGGGAGGGCGGGAGGGCAGGGCGGCGGAGACAGAGCGGGACTTGGGCATGCGCAGCAGGGCTGCAGGGCCAGCAGCACCTCGCTGCAGCTCGCCGCTCCATGCCCTGCTGTCGCTGCGCTCAGCAGCAGCGGCAACGGCAGTGGTGGTGGTAGCGGCGGCGGTGGTAGCACTGTGGCGTTCTGCTGCCTCTGAGAGGGCTTCGTCCTGCGAGCTGTCAGGTGCGGGCGGGTCTCCTTCCCCCCCACCCACCCCTCCTCTGCTCGCGGTGTCCTCCTTACCGCCAGCGCCACCCCCATCGCCACTGCTGCCGCCGATCTCCCCGCTGCTGCTGTCGCTGCTGGCAGCAGCAGCAGCAGCGCGGCTTGCAGTGGTCCGCGTGAAGGACGGGCGCTTGACCAGTGAGAAGAGATAAGGCAGGCGCGGGGCAGAGAGCGACACGGAGGAGGCCGCGGAGGAGGAGGGGACCGTGGGGAAGGAGGAGGCGGAGGAGGAGGATGGGGAGGGGGACGAAGGGGGGTCGGGGAGAGCGGGCGAGGGCGACGAGCGTGCGTGGCTGGTGGAGACAGATCGCATCATCATCACCACCGCACTGCGTCGGTTCATCACCACCCCCCTCTCCCCTGCCCCGGGCCCAGCCTCGGAAGTAGCTTCGGAAGAGGCAGGTTCGGAAGCCGGGGTAGAAGTGGCGCTGGCGGACAAGGAGCGGAAACCCCACGGCCCCGCTCTGCCCCTCAGCCCTGTCTTTTTCTCCGGAAGCGCTGCTTTCCCCGCGTCTGCGCCACCAGCCTCTGCGCCACTCGCACCCCCGCCCGCATCCCCGCTACCCCCGCTGCTCGCAGCGCTCGGTGCGGTGTGTTCCCTCCCCGCCCCCGACCGCTCATCCTCCTCCTCCCCCTCTCCAGTCTCCCCCGCCCCCTGCCCCTCCGCCTGCCCCCATTGCTCCCTGAGCCGCCGCCATCGCTTCGAGGCGGACGGCGCCAGCGCCGCGGCGGGGGCGCCGCTTACGGCGGACGCCTTTCCGCCGAGCCACGCGTGCCCGCGACTGCCGGGCGCGCCGAAGCACGTGACTGCAATTTCGCCGTCATCCTCGGCGCGTATGGCGCCGTGATCGTCGGGATCGGCTGCTGCTGCCGCCGCCGCTGCAATATCTTCCGCCGCGCTGACTGACGCGGATCGCCAATGGTGACGTGGCCGCGGCGGACGGAGAGGGCTCGCGGACGGCGGCTGTGACGCGCGGTGCAGCGGGTTTGGCGGCGGAGGGGCGTCGCGATAGGGGGAGTGTGCGGGCTGGTGGGTGTGCGCGCGGCGCTGCTCCGCGGGAGGTGGGTGGTTGCCAGTGTGCTTGGCCTTGTCGGGATCGCGGAGGGGCGGATGCGGAGGCTCCGCGGTTCCCGCGGAACGCTGCGGGGCGACTTCAGCGGCCTCGGCCGCTGCGGTGTCTTGCATGGTGCTGCGATTGGTGGCGGCTCGTGTAGCGGCTACAGTCCTTGCTATGGCTCGGCCTGACTGCTCAGTTGCGAGGCTCGGCGAGCAAGCTCCTGAGAACTAACCTACAGCGTTTACAGAAAACAAAAGCGAGAATTTCGAAGAGAGCGAGGAAGGGAAGGCACGGTGGGTGGGGTTGCGCAACTGGGTGAATTGCTGCATTTGTCCTGTTGCGCGTGCGGTGAATAGTCAAACTGTACAGGCAGGCTCGTGGGCCAGCTGCGACGGTCTCAAGCATAGAAGGCTATTTAGGAGCAGTGGCGAGGTTTGTCCCACGGGATTTACCCTTTTCGGGGTCAGTGGCAGGCAATGGAGCAAGGAGTAGTAGATGGTGGGTGGGTGGTGTGATTCTGAGGTGAAGCTTCAGGGGCACTGGGGGGGACAAAGCAGTCGGGGGGGGCTCCAGCTTGCTGGGCACAAATTCCCCCATGTGCCTCGTTCCCCCGTTTCCAAACGACAACCTTTCAACCAACTCCACTCCACCGCACCCATGCGATGCGATGCGATGCGATGCGACGAACATAACTTTTGGATGGGCACAGAGCAGGATACGCGAAGTTCAATGGGGCTGCGAGAGTGGGCGAAAGTGGGCGGATAGTGCTTGCGAAGGCATGGTGCACGGCGAAAAGGCGATGACGACGAGGGCGTGTCGTCTGTGGCTTCGACTTGTGGCCATAGGCTCGCGCGAGCACCTGTCAATGCGTTTTATAAGGGGGATGCGCTACGACGAACTTTCACATTGGACTGGATGGTCCAATCAAGGTTCTGTACGTCGCAATTTACAGAAATGTCTTATATTATTGGCAGATTCACTGCAAATCCCCACAAGCCTCATTTGATTGAGTCACAAAGACGTTTTTGAGAGAACCCAAATTGAAGATGCCGTATTATGTTGGGCGGTTGGGCAGAAATATGGCTTGGATATCCTCATCGGGCTTTGCTATCTGTTGGGGGGGGCGACAGAACTTTGCGAAAATCGGGTTACTTATAAGCCTGTCCCCTCCCTGAATGTGCAGTGCGGTGCGATGCATTTCAGATAGATTATCTGTGCTGGGTGGTGACGAAACCCCTCGTTCGCTAGAGTCCACTGGTAAGGCATGCACCAACCTCACCCCGCATACTCACCCCACACGACTAAGAGCCTCTCCGCGTCAGGACACTGCCTGCGAGCCGTTTGATCAGAGCGTTGCGCGCATCGAGCAGGGCGAGGATGAACGACTTATTAGGGGTGGGTATCAGGAGCGCTGCGTGCGCTCTGTCTGAACCCTCGCACCGACGCGGTGACGCCACTCGCGTGCGTGCGGGCGTCGGGCTGACCTGACGAGCTCGTGCGTGATTGCGTGTGTGTGGTGGCAGGACGTGCCGTCGCCGCGGTATGGCGAGGTGCCGGAGCAGGAGGAGATGGACATGGAGACGGGGCTCATGGAGGGCGGCGGCACGGACCCCAAGATGCAGCTCTTCTTCGACGAGGTGCGCCCGCCGCCGCCGCCCCCGCTGCCTCTGCCCTCGCCTTGCCTCGTCTCGCCTCGCTTTTTTCTCCTCCGCTTGTTTCCTCCCGTCTCGTTTCGCTCTGCGCGTGTCAGTCCCTTGTCACGGGCGCGCGCCGATCTGAGCGCCGTGCGTGGTGTGTGCGTGTGTGCGAGCAGGTGAACGACATCAAGAACAACATGGAGCACATCCGACACCGCCTTCACAGCTTGCAGGTCTGTGCCGCGCCGCTTCCGCCTCCGCCTCCGCCTCCCGCCGCCTCTCGCGCCTGCGGTGTCTGCATTGCACTTGCGCGCCGTCGCCACGCGCAATGCGTGCATGCCGTTGATTTTCTCTGACCCCGTGGGTGTGTTCTGTGCTCGTGCTGCCTTGTGCGCGTGGCGCGTGGCGTGTGGCGCGTGGCGTGTGGTGTGTGGCGTGTGGTGTGTGGCGTGTGGTGTGTGGCGTGTGGTGTGTGGCGTGTGGTGTGTGGCATGTGGTGTGTGCGATGTGTGAGTGCGAGCAGGAGGCGAACGAGGAGAGCAAGCTAGTAACGCGAGCGCCAGCCATGAAAGGTGCGCTGCCGTCTCCCTTCCTTGCACTCGCTTGCACTCTCGCTCTATCCCCTCCCTCCCCGTCCCCTCCCGCCACCCTCCCACTCCACAGCCGCATTTTTCTGCCTCCAAGCCACGTCTCACGGTGTCGGCCCGTCCCCTCTCCCACCTCTCTTTTGCTTCTGCCCAGCCTTATTCTCCACCCTTCGCTCGCCTCCCCACTCATCATTCCCCTCCTCTTTGCCCCTCTCCGCCTTGCCTTCCACTTCCTTCATACCACCCACTTCCTTCCCCTCCCACCCTTTCCCCCCCAATCCTTCCCCCGCCCCTTCCTTCTCTCCTCCCCTGCTGTCCACCCCTCCCTTCCCCTGCACGCCCTCCCCCCCCCCCCTTGGTGCATGGGGCAGCGTTGAAGGAGCGCATGGAGGCGGACATAGACGACGTGCTCAAGGTGGCGCAGGCCATCAAGCGCCAGATCGAAGCCCTCGACCGAGCGGTCAGTCCCCTGCCGCCCTGCCCTCTGCCGCCCTGTCCCGCCGCCCTGCCATGCCACCCTGCTGTCCTGCCGCCCTGCTATCATCGTCTTCCCTACCGCGCGCACCTGCCCCCTTTCATTGCACCTGTTTCCCAACCAACCCACCTCCCTCTCTGCCCATGTCATTCTTGAAACGTTGGAATCGCAATGGCCTGGGGTTATTGGCACCGCATGGCATGGCATGGGATGAGGTGGGATGGCATGGCATGGCATGGCATGGCATGGCGTGGCATGGCATGGCATGGCATGGCGTGGCATGGCATGGCATGGCATGGCGTGGCATGGCATGGCATGGCATGGCATGGCATGGCAGAACTTGGAGAGCAGGAAGACGCCAGGGTGTGAGGAGGGCACGGGCACGGACCGCACTCGCATGTCCATCACCACGTGCGTGCCCCACCGCCACTGCCCCTTACCCCACACCCTCCCCCCCACCACTGTCTCGCTCTCCCCCTCCGGGTGTTGGGGTCCCACCACCACTTCTGAATCTCATTCTTACCATCTCTCTCGACCTTCATCTTCTCACTCTCGTTGCACTCCCATGGCTGCCTCCCCATGCCTCCCCTTCTCCTCCCTCTCTTCAATGTGCTCAATCTGCCTCCACCGCCACGCTGTCGTGCATACACCCACAGCTGCATGGTTGCTCCCATGCCTGCCTGCCGCCCTTGTTATCATGGCGAGCCACTCACTCAGGCGCTTGTGCATGCCACCACACCCACACCACAGCCTGCCCATGCCGTGCTCTCATTTCCTGCTCAACCATGCTCATGCTCCCTCACACGCGTGTGTTGTTCGCTCTCGCTTTCCCCGCGTGTGCCTTGTGGGGTGTGGGTGGGTGGGTGGGGCACGGGTTGACTGATGGCGCGTACAGTGAATGAGGGCTGGATGTTGGGTTGTGTTGGGTTGAGTGTGGGAAATGCACGCTCGTGGCGTGCATGCGTACACATGGGTGGTCTTAGCGGTGCATGGGTGCATGGGATGGGTGCATGCGTGCATGGCGTGAATGCAGGACGATGAAGAGGAAGCTCAAGGAGCTCATGAACGAGTTCCAGGTGACCACTGCCCTCCGCCCCGCCCTCACTGCATGTGCATGCCATGCCACTGCCATTCTGCGGGCGCTTCTTAAGCAACCGCCTGCACGCAGCACTCCTATCCAACACTGCCCCTTTGCTCGCCCGCCCCTCAGCTCTGTCTTTTCTCACACCTCTTGTGCTCCCACACCCCATCCCATCTGCACGTTGTTCTGTGTGGTGCTCATGCCGCCCCTACCCCTCTGTGCCTATCGATTGTAATCTAGCACTATGAGCCATGCTCCCATCATGCCCCCTTCCACCACCCACGCACATCCTCCCACTGCCCCTGCCTGCCTTGCCCTCCTCTTCCATCCCCGTGACCGCCCTACCTCTTAACTCAATCCCTCCCGCCTCTTCCTTCCTCTTCCCGCCTCTCCCCTCTCCCTGCCCCTCGCGCCCCTCTCCCCCGCCCTTCCCTCTCCCCTTCACTCGCCGTGAACCCATGTGTGCATGCCCCTGTGCATTCCCCTACGTGCACACACATCAGGACCTGCGCAGCAAGTTCCAGAGCGAGTATCGGGAGGTGGTGGAGCGCCGCTACTACACAGGTCAGCTCACCCACCCACATGCACTGCCGCCCCGCCTCTCCTCTCCCCTCCACTCCATGCCCGTTGGGCCTGGGGCTTGGTGGTTGAGGGGGCAAGGGGGGTGGAGGAGGCAGAGGGGGTCGGTGGCAGCAGCAGGGTGCAAGGAAGAAAGGAAGGGTGGATGGCCATGTTGTGTTGTGTGACGCGCTTTTTGCTGTCAGCAGTGCAGCAGATGCCGCATTCGCATTGTGACTACATGATATCTTCTCCGTTCTCTTACTGTGTCTCTTCCTGTGCTGTGCTGTGCTGTGCTGTGCTGTGCCCTCGTCTCCTCCTCTCTGCCACATGCTGTGCTGCAGTGACTGGCAAGCGCGCTGACTCGGAGGTATTCTCCCTCCCTGCCCTCCTCTCCTCCATGCACGCCCCACCCACCTTCCCCCTTGTCGCCTCTTCTTTTCCTCTTTGCCCGCCCATCAGTTGTATGCCTGCTCCTCTGCTTCATTCCTTCGCTGCTGCTCCGCTCACCCTGGCGCAATCACTTCCCCTGCCGCAGCTCTCTGTGCCCGCCCCCCTCTCCACCCTCCCTTCTTCTTCACCCTCATGCCTGCACCTCTCGCCCGTCCCTCCCCGCCCCCCCCCCCCCACCCGGCCCTGCGTGTGGTGTGGTGGTGGCATGGCAGACCATAGACACGCTGATAGAGACGGGTGACAGCGAGTCCATCTTCCAGAAGGCCATTCAGGAGCAGGGCCGCGGCCAGGTGCGCACACCTCTCATGCCCACGCTCCGCTGCCCCCCTCTCTGCTCGCACCGCCACCTTTACCACTCAGCCTTTGCTCACAGCGACACGCCTTTCTGGGCATTCCCGCCTGCGTGCTGCTGCTGGCACCTGTGACCTCACCACCCCATGCCTGTGCGCCCTGCCCTCGCGTGCAGCAGCAGCAGCAGCAGCAGCACAGCGCCGTGCCGTGTGTCTTAAGGCACCTCACAGTTCACTTCGGTAACTTCTCTGTTCCGCTTCCCTCTGCCCCACTGTCCCCCGTGTACGCACAGCAGCTGATGGACACGCTAGCGGAGATCCAGGAGCGGCACAGCGCAGTGCAGGACATTGAGAAGCAGCTGCTCGAGCTGCACCAGGTGCTCTCCGCTCCCCGCCCGGCCCCATGCCCCACGCATTTCCTCCTTCCTTTCCTCCGCTTGTTCCTCTCTTACTCTTTCTTCTCGTTGCCAGCCCACCCCCTCTTTCTTTCTCCTCCCTCTGCCGCCATTGTGTTTCTCACTCCCACTCCACACCTCCCCGCCTGCCGCCATTCTCACCGTTTCTTCCTCGTTTTGTTTTTTGTACTTACATGCTTCTTCATACATGATTTCCTTTTATCCTTTTCTCCTCCATGCTCCTCTCTCCTTCTGACAGTCCTGTTTCCCCTCTCCCCCACCCCCCCTCTTCCCCACCACGTTCCCTTTCTGTTCCTCCTCGCGTTCCCCTCTCCCACTGTGGGTGTGGTTGCATGCATGTGTGATGCGTGGTTGCATGAGAGTCCATGTATGTATGTGCGTGCATGCGTGCATGAGTGTGCGTGTATATGCATGCGCATGTGTGCATGTGCGTGCGTGTGTGCATATGCATGTGCGTGTGTGGGTGCATGTACATATACACATGACCTGCTGCAGATATTCATGGACATGGCGGTGTTGGTGGAGTCACAGGGCGAGTTGTTGGACAACATAGAGGTGCAGGTGGGGCAGGCCGTGGACCACGTGCAGCACGGCACCAAGCAGCTCGTGGAGGCGCGCAAGACCCAGCTCAACACACGCAAGGTAACCTGCCCTGCCGCCCTGCCGCCCTGCTCCGGCCCTCCTCACCTCCCAAACCCCTCTCCCACTACCCTCCTCCCCTTCCCTTTCCTCGTCCGTGGACCCTTGTTCCTCCACCCTTCTCCCTTCCCTCCCCCTCTCTGTATGTGGATGCTAGGTGATGTAGCAGCTCTGCTGGTCCCTCAGTCTGACCCCTTTCCCACACCCCTCCCTCGTCTGTGCATGGCAGTGGATATGCTGTGGCATCATCCTAGTGATCGTGATCATAGTGGTCATCATAATAGTCGTGGTCAAGCCATGGGAGTTCGCTAAGAAGTGACAACCGCCACACCCACACCCCTGCTGCTCACACCCCACTGCCATCCTCGCCCTCATCATCTCCCTTCGCGTCCTGCTGCCTGCCCAACCTGCACTGCTCGCACTGCCTGGGCTGCACGGCACGCCAGGGTGCAAACTGCACTCACGCAGTGAAGCGGCTCTTCCTGCACCATGGCTGGCAGGGCCACACTCGGTCTCACCCTCTCATCCCCACGCCATCCTCGCACCCTGCCATTCCATTCGTTGTAGCACCTGCCATGTCGCCGCTCTGCACCATGCCAGCATGCGTGCCATGGTGCCTTCATGCCCTCCCTCCCCAGGCGGCCTAGCTTCCATGCCATTTGCGCCCCTTCACATTCCACTCCGCGCAATAATGCAGGGTAATTTTGATTTTTTCTCAAAACTACCCTGCATGGTGGCTGGGCGTGCTATTAGTTAGGAACACTAGGATGCCTTTCAATAGATCTGCTATGGAATGTCGGCGGCCACAGCGTGGTGGGAGTGTAATAATGCCACGGCCTTCGTGGCAAAATTGGCTGAATGCATTGGGCCCCTCATTAGTGTAGATGCAATTGTGCCTCCCATTGTTTGGCAGACTTTTAGTTGGGTGCCTTCTAGTGCAGGTTTCATTATTGCAATTGTTTTATTAGGTTCTGTGAACTGCGCATAAAACTAGGCATCTAAAGAATATTCGATACAGGCTTATTTTGCTCCTAGTTCCCCATGTTTTTGCACACAGCGGGAATTCAGGTCGATCTGAAATCCTCACAACGAATATCCCGAGCCAAACCACGAGGGATAGATACCATAGTTGCAATTCAGATGAACTAGTCGTCACTCAGCAAGTTGCGTCTTCTAGTCGCTGAACTCGCAGCTAAAAGGAGGCGTTGCAAGGCGATTACTGGGTTAAGCGTTGCTAATCACCACCGCAACCCCGTCCGTGCCGTCCTGCTTCCGCTCTCGTTACCACCGCACATGGCGGCGGGCGGCGCAGGATCCTCGGATCGGCCGGTTCCCCGCGAGGATTCTCCTCCGGACGGCGGCGATGGCGGAGGAGAGGGCGGCGGAGCTTTGCAAGGCGGCGGCAGCGGCGACGGCGCGGAATCGGGCGCGCCCGATTACATCCGCCTGACGGCGGCGCACGCGGGGGAGGACAGCGGCGGGGTGGACGAGGGCGACCCCGCGGACTCCCCCGATCGGCGCGCGGCGGGCGGCGGGGAGGAAGAGGAGGACGACGGCGAGGGCGCAGGCATGGCGTACCACGAGAGGGGCGCGGGGGGCGGGGATTGGGAGGGCGTGGCTGCGGGGGAGCTGGAGTCGCATGAACCGGACCGCGACGACCGGCACCGCGCGCGTGGCGCTGCTGCGGGGGGAGGCGGGAACGGCGGAGATTTCGGCGGGGATCACGGCGAGGCGGAGGTGGAGGATGGTTACTACGGGGGAGATGATGGCGGAGCGGATCGATGGGGGCCGGGGGCGGAGGCGGAAGGAGACGCGGAGCGGGAAGGGGAGGGGGAAGACAGGTGGGTGGAACAGGGGGAGGCGGACGACAATGATCAGGAGATGGGGGGAGGCGCGGACGATGATGGCGGTGGCGCTGAGGGAAGCGGGGGCGGGGGAGCGGGCGGGGGGGATGTGATCGAGGGGGGAATGGACGGGGACGACGGGGGAGAGGAAGGGGAGGTGGTGGGCGGAGGAGAGGAGGACGATGGGGGCGTGGACGAGGAGAGAGACGCGCGACGGGAGGGAGGAGTGCGCGCGGCGAGAGGGGGGCGGGGGGGCGAAGCGGGAGAGAGCAGCGGGGAGGAGGAAGCGGGGGTGGCGCAAGGGGAGGGAGAGGCGGAGCAAGGCAGGTGGGGGGAAAGGGAGCGAGCGGCGGGAGGGGAGGGGGAGGAGGCGGAGGGGGAGGATGAATCAGACGATGACCGGGACTGGGTAGGAGAGGAGGAGGAAGAGGACGGGTCCGATGGAGGGGGGGAGGGCGAAGAAGAAGGAGAGGAGGTGGAGCACGAGGAGGGGGAGGAGGGTGAGAGCGAGGGGTACGAGGAAGGAGAGGCGTACGGGGGAGGCGAAGGCGAGGGGGAGGAGGATGATGAGGTGCAAGAGGCGGAGGGGAGGGGCGGAGGTGAGGAGGAGGAGGAAGACGAGGAGGAGGAGGGAGGTGGCGAAGGGGAGGCGGAGGAAGGCGAGGAGGAGCAATGGGGGGGGCGCGGGGGGTGTTATGTTGTATCAGGGGACAGGGCGGGCGTGGGGAGGGGAGCGAGCAGGCAAGCCGTGCATATTGACCTGGATGATGACGAGGACGAGGAGGGCGAGGAGGGCGAGGGCGGGCAGAGAGCGGAGGGTGTGTGTGATGGGGTGAGGGAAGTGAGCGTGAGAATAATGGAGCCTGGTGAGGAGGAAGGGGAGGACGAGGAGGAGGAGAGTGCAGGAGAGGGGGAAGGGCAGGGAGGGGCAGAAGGCGTGGAGGCAGCAGGGGGGATGGGTGGCGAGGGGGGCATGGAGGTGGATGGCGCGTGGGGTAGTGATGTTGGGGACGCGGAGGGGGCAGGGTTTGAGGAGTTTCTGGGGGAGATGGCGAGGGGGAGTGGCGGAGATGGGGAAGGGGGGGCGCAAGGGGGAGACGAGGCAGGGTTGGTACGCATGAGTGGGGAAGGAGCAGCAGCGGTGGAGGAGTTGGAGGGTGTGGAGGGCGGTGGTGAGGATGGGTGGGGTGGTGACGAGCAGATGGCAGCGTGGGATGGTGCGGCAGGTGGGGGCGAGGCACTAGTGCTGGCCGAAGCGGCAGCGCCAGCGGCAGCAGCGGCAGTCGCAGCAGTGCCAGTGGCGGCACGTGGTGGTGACGAGTCTGCTGCTCTCACTGCTGCTGCTGCTGCTGCTGCTGCTGCTTCCCTGGCGCCCGGTGAATCCCTGGAAGACGGTGTCAAAGCAGGTGCCTCTGGTGCTGAGGCGGGTGGCTCTGGTGTGGGGGGCGCACCTGAATCAGTGGCTGCTGATGGCCACGGCTTGCCAGGCAAGGCCCCTGCCATTCTGGCAGCAGCGGCAGGAGAAACAGGAGCAGTATCAACAGAAGGAGCAGGAGCATCAGCAGCAGAGGCAGAGGCGAGTCTTTCTGGTCTGCGGGTGCGGTGGCGAGGCCACAGGGGCGCCCCATCGCAGCAGGCAGGGCGGGCAGCAGTGGCAGGGGCGGGTGCAGTGCCATGCAGGTGGAGTGAGCGCAGCAGGGCAGCAGCAGCCGTGCTGGCAGGGCTGGCGCCGCAGGCGGCAGGGGCGAGGGGCAGGGGGCGCCTGGAGTGGGGAGGCGAGGGAGGTGCGGATGGGATGGGTGAGTGGCGCGGGCGGAGGCAGCGCTTAGCCTTGGCATCGTGTGCCGTGCCCCTGCTGCCCCTGTCCGGTGGCGAGGAGGGAGGCGAGGACGAGGAGGATGGGAGAGTAGGGGCGCTGGCGGTGATGGGCAGGTGGAGGGGTGGTGAGGCGCTTGGTGTAAGGGGAGGAGGTGGGGTGGTGGGGAAGAGGAGGAGAGAGGAGGAGGAGAGGGCGGAGGAGGAGGCGTTTGATTGGAGGGAGTGGGATGGGATGCGGTGCACGTACAAGTGCAGGAACATGGTAATGCATGTGGATCACCATCCATCCGTTCATGGCCGTGGCAGGGGGTTACTTCTGTGTGCAGCAGATACACTACTAGCAATCATGTCACCAAAGCCCTCTTCTCCTGCTCGTGTTGGGTGTGGGTGTGTGGCATGGCATGGCATGGCATGGCAGGTGAAGGCGGAGTTCATGGCTCACACGGCGCGTGTGGAGAAGCAGCTTGCAGATTTCACCCGCACCCACCACCACACTGCAGCTGCCCTCACTGCTGCCGGTATCCCACCGCCCACCCACCTCTTCAAACCTATCTTCCGCTCCTGCATCCACATCGCATCGCATGCTCTTTCCATAACTCCTAGTGCCGCTGCGCCCTCCCTTGCCTGCTTTTCCTTGCTTCCATGACATCAGCCTCCCCTCCTCGTGTCACACATATTTCCGTCACTCACTTCTCTTTGTTTTGTCCCATGTCCACTTCTGTCCTTCCTGTTGCTGTGGCTGCCCCCCATGTGTGCTGCGTGGCCTGGAGCACCAGAGGAGCAGTGTGCGCGGCTGCAGCAGCAGGTGGCATCTCTGGAGCGAGAGGCGGTGGCGGTGAGGGAGAGCGGCAAGGAGAGGGAGGAGCAGAGGAGGCGCGCAGCAGAGAGGGCGGAGGAGAGCATCCGAGTGCAGATGAAGCGGTGCCATGAGCTCGAGGTGAATGGACCACGCAATGTCCAGCATAGGGGGGCTTAGATATTATCCGCATAACTCCTCTACGCCGTTCCCGGGCTTGTCAGTTGCACCGTTCTGTGTCAACCCCAACATGTCTCCACCTGTCCCCCGTTCTTCGCCTCCCTTTCACTACCTCCTCCTCCTAGCTGCAAGTGTTGCACCTCACGAAGCGGAGCACAGAGGCTGAGGCGAGAGCAGCAGCAGCAGAGGCGCGGGCGGTAGCAGCGGAGGCAAGGCATGCGAGGGCGGAGGAGGAGGTGCGCGCGGTGCAGGCGGCACGGGAGCGGGAGGTGGCGGGGGTGCGCGCACACATGGAGGGGGAGATAGCGCGACTGGAGGCTGAGGTGGGGTGCTTGGGTGCAAGCTGTATGGGCATGGGGGTTGTAGTAACTAGCAAGGGCGAATGAGGCAAGCAGTGGAATGCTGTGGTGAAGTGCGCTTTGTGAGATGCTAATAGAAATGCTTGCACACAGTATGAAGCGCTTCACAGCTTTGCACCTTGCCCTGCGCTCTCCCTTTTCCACCCTTCACCTGCGTCTTTGCGTTGTGGCGTGCCTTCCTCCCCTTCCCTCGCCTTTCCCACCTCCCCCTGTGTGGAGCACCAGGTGCGCATGGGAGTGAGTCGCATGGAGGCGATGGGGGTGGAGATGGAGTCACTGGAGGACGAGGCAGATGCTCTCAGGGCGCAGCATGCTGAGGTGCGTGCAGCATGCTCGATTGCTGCTTGGTGATGCTCCTGGTGTGAGGGGATATGAATGATCTCATGCATGACATAGCCTGGAGCATGCTCAAGTCAATGTAAACGTATTCAAACGCATAGGTTCGACGTACCACTTTTCCGCCCCTCCTACCGGCCCGCTCTCCCGTGGGCTACCTGTGTGTGTGTGGCAGGCGGTGAGGGAGGCGGCGGATGTGAGGTGTGAGTTGGAGCGTGTGAGGGGCGAGGGCGGGCTGGGGAAGTCGACCTCGGCTGTGGAGGCCCATGCGCTGCTGGCCCGCCTGCAAGAGGACAACCGCCGACTGGTGCTGTGGGGGGGAAAGGGGAGGAGGGGAAGGAGGGATGATGGGCAAGGAGCATGTGGGGTGAACTGAGAAAGAAAGGGGAGGAGAGTGGTGGGAAGGGATGAGGGTGAGGGAACGACGATGGTCCCATTCTAAATTTCTGCATTGAGAATTTTGTTGGCAAGGTTGTTGCGTCCCTCCCCATCTGTTTCTCTCCCTCCATCATCCGTGGGCCTGGAGCAGGTGGTCAGCGCAGAGACTGTTGAGTTGACTCACGTTGTTTTATTGGTGCACCGCTGTTTCTCTCTCCCGCAATCCACTGTGCAGGTGGAGCAGGTGAGCAAGGCGGAGAGGCAGCAGGAGGGGCGGCAGCGGTGGCACGTGTTGCAGCAGGAGGTGCTGGTGGAGCGAGCCAGGGCGGATGCAGCAGAGGCGGCAGCAGCAGCGGCAGCAGACATGGCAGTGCAGCTCAGGCAGGCTCAGCGCGACCTGCAGCGCTGGCGCACCCTGCTGCACTCGCCCGCCCTTCACCTCGCCGCCTCTGCCCTGGTTCCCCATGGGACCAGGGGGACCAAGGCGGAGGGCGCAGAGGAGGCACGGGAAGGAGTGGCTGTGGCGGGGCAGGGAGCAGATGAGGTAGCAGGGAGTGGAGGCGGTGGTGGTGAGGGGACGGGGGGAGGCAGGGAATATGGGCCTGAAGATGTGGTTGCTGCCATTGGGAAGCTGCAGAGGTATCACTCATGCGATGCCGCTGCCTTCTCTGGTTCACATTCAAGTTGTGCCACCTTTGTTGTGACCCGTGGAACCATGCAGCAGGTCCTGCAACATCCTGTGTTGATTTCTCTTCCAGTCCATGCCTGACTTTCCCATCCCCCAAACGTTCTTCCACTTCCCCCTTGTGCATATGGCAGTGCGGCGCTGTGTGCGATGGCAGAGGCGGGCGAGGCAGCAGCGCAGGTGGTGCCGCTGAGAGCAGCGGTGGCAGCAGCAGAGAGGGCAGCGCAGGAGGCGAGGGCAGGGGAGAGCGATGCGAGGCGGCAGCTGGTGCAGTTGCAGGGGCAGCTGGATGGCAAGGACTCCGAGGTGCGCCCCATGCACCCCTGCCCGCCCTGCCCCATACCCCTCCCCCCGCCTCCCCTTCCCTCTCCCTATCCCCCGTTTTCCCACCCCCGTCGCTCTCTTCACGCCTCATTGGTCCTCTTCCCTGCGGTTGACCCAGCCCGCTCACCCTTCTCGCTTACAAGTGACATAGGCCTCCCTTGGGCCACTCACTGGTTTCACTCTCCCAACCCCGCATGCACATGCGCTTATGCCAACACGACCACCGATTCGTCCCCATGAGTGCAGATGGCAGTGGTGGTGCGGGAGAGGGACTCACTGCGCTGCATGCTGCAGTCGTACGACGACGAGGAGCAGGTGGTAGCGCACTGGCTCACCACCCCCCGCACACCGCTGCCACAAGAACCTGTGCCACCTGCCATGCCGCTTGCGCCGCATGCTGCTGCTGCTGGCACTGCCGATTGTGGTGGTGACGGTGATGGTGCTGGTGCAGAGAGAGTGGACGGGAGGTTGGTGACAGTGACGGTGCCTGGTGCTGCGGAGGGGGGAAGGGTCCTTGCCGTGCCCTCTGCACCGCATGCTGCAAAGAAGAGGCGCCTGGAGGTAAGCATGAATCACCTTCCGATTCCTCCCTGTCCATCCCATCCTGTGGTCTTTGAGTGCCTGCGTTGTATTGCTCTGGCTCTAGGTAACCGTCTAATGTTCCTCATTCACTGCGGTCAAGGCGAATTGTTGGCAGCGGCTATAGAGCAAGCTGCTGTACATTTGCCGGATCCAATATCCAATTTTTGGCCATCTTAGTAGACCCACTCTCTTTCCGTGTCCTCCCTCCTCGTCACTGGTCTCGCCTTCCTTGCCCTTCCCCTCCTGTCGGCTGCATGGCACCAGGAGGTGGAGCGGGCGCTGCATGTGGAGAGGGGCGAGGTGCAGAGCAGGGAGGTGGCGCTACGGGGAGTGGCAGCGGAGAGGGACCGACTGCAGCAGGAGGTGGAGCGCCTGAAGGGAGAGGTGGAGAGGGAGGTGGCGAAGAGAAGGGACGCCGAGGCAGAGCTGCAGGCGCGTGGGCGGTAGCTGAGTGTGGTGGATGGTAAGGTGCATGGATATGGGGGAATTTATTGAGGCAATAGAATGGGAAGGACCTTGTGTTGTCTGCGGGGCAAGGACCTTATGATACGCATCTCTGTTTCATGGCATGGCATTTGTCTGACCATGGCTCCTGCTTGCCATCCTTGCGTTCGCTCTTGTTCCCCGTGCCATCAGCACGCAGAGGGTGCATCCCTAATGAGGCTGAGGTGTACGTGGCAGGCATGTGCAGCAGCAGTGACCATGGCAAGGGAGGGAGGGGGGAGGGGGGAGGGGGTGTGTGTGTGTGGTGTGGCCACACTTGTGCAGCAGCGTGGTCAAGTCACAGGGCGTGTGTGTGTCGGTGCCGACCAACGTCTCTGCGTTGCATAATGCCTTTCTGGGAGGCCGGAGCAAGTGGCACGACTTTACAGAGTCATTCTGACTCGTGATGCTACACAGGGCTGACTCGGCACCTGCTGATGGCAGTGCGGTCATGGTGTGGGGATGGCAAAAGGGTGGCGGGGAGATACTTTGTGACAAGTTGCAGTGGAGGGTGGTGCTTTGACACCTACACTACAAGGCATTGTAGAACTGGAAATTACCGGAGTTGTGGTTGCATACAGCAGGAACAGTTAAGCTTTGACATATGCTACCGTACAATAAAGTTCTACCGTACGTTCTTTGCTATAGTACCCCGTATCAGAACAAGACCCAAGTGCATGGCCACACACCTCATTGATAAAGTTGCATGACACATCGCATGGTTACTAACATCACATTGCATGGCATTGCATCAACTACCAGCATGGTGTTACAGCACATGCTGCATGGCACGGAACTTGAGCACTGAGCAGGCGAGTGAGAGCTGGGCAGTAAGGCCAAGCACAACATCCCCATGCGCATGTCCGCAGCGCACAGCAGCGACACGATTCATGTCAAGGTGCCTGCAGGGAGAAGGGGGGGAAAGGGAGAGGTTTGGGAAGCAAAAATCAACTTGAAAGAGGAACACTTCGGAAGGGACGTCAACATGGGTGGAGGCGGGTTAGGAAAGGGGGAGGAGAGAGGGGGAGGGGGAAGGGGAGGGGAGGAAGACAGGAGGGGAAGGGAACATGGGAAACCGAGAATGGTCCCCCTTCCCACGTGAAACTCGCATCCCACTCCGCCCTCAGCCCTTGTGCATCTCACGTGGCGGGCAGCATGGGTGGCGGCTCGCGTCTCGTCCGACGCGGCGGAGGGCAGCGCCGCGAGCGGGGCAGCACCGTCGCCGCCTTTTGAGGCGCCTCGAAAGACGCGTGTGGAGGTGATGGGGGCAGGGAAGGCGTGCGACAGCAACGGTCAGCAACGCTGCAGAGCAAACCGTCTGCAGGGAAGGCATGCGGTGATGGCAACACTGCTGACAGAAACGGCAACACTGCCGGCACCTGCAGCTGGGGAAGGGGAAAAGGGGGTGGGCAAGGTGGGGCCATGGAAGGGAAGAGGGAGAAGAGGCAGAGGGAGACGGGAGGGGGATTGTGCCCGCAGGTTACTCCGGGTATGTGAGGTAGACTGCATTTTCAAGGGACATCGAGGCACAAAGTGGCTGGATATAGGGTAAGCCACAAGTCGATGCTGCTACGACATGGCGGGAGACGACTGGCACAGCAACGCCCACCCGCTCTTCCCATCGCATCCCGTCCCTTGCGCGCCTTCTGATGCTCCTCCCAAGTGCTCCCCTTCCCAATGCGCCCTCCCGTCCCACCTGCCCCACTCCCCACTGCGCCCGCCCCTGCCCACCTTCCCCCCTCCCCACCACGACCTCCCCTTCCCGCCACCCATTTCGTGCACCTCGTCTGTGGCGGCAGAGGCGAGCGCGGCACGCACCCCTGCACGCATGAACCAGGCAGCACGCCAGCATGCCGCCCACGCCTCACCCGTGGCAGCACAAGGCAGCGCCACCCACCACCGTCGCCGCCTTCTGAGGCGCCTCGACAGACACAGGGGGGGGAGGGGAGGCGGGAGGGGAAGAGGAGGGAGGGGACGGGATGGGTGGTGGGGGGGGGGAGGGGAGGAGGAGGGGAAGAGTGGAAGGAAGGGGGAAGCGGAAATGGATGGGAGAGATTTCTTAAGGTGTATCAAAGCTGACTCTTGGCCAATGTCCTCTCCTCTTCTGAGTCCCAGCGACCATGCCAGCATGCCCCCTGAGAGGGACGAGCCGTACCCACTAGGGAGGGGGAAAGGGGGAAGGGAGGGGGAGGGGAAAGGGGGCAGACTCGGATGGTGAGGGGAAGTTGAGGGGGAGAGGGGGAGGAAACGGGGTGATTTGGACGGATATTCTCTCACTTGTGTCATTACACACGGAGGGAAAGGGGTGATTGGTCGAGGGGCGAGGGGTGGCATTGCTGCTTCTCACGGTGATTCCGCTTGTTGGTGCGAGCGTGGGAGGGTGGAGGGGCGGGGGGAGAGGGGAGCTGCGAGAGTGTTTTTGGGTCTTCTCAGAACCCACCAGGGCGGGTCAGCCCCTGTTGCACTAACGCCTTGGCACGCCGCATCTCCAATTGCTGCCGCCAGCGTGCAAAGGTTTAGGGGCAGATAGGGTAGCCGGGAGGGGGAGGGGGGTCATGGAAAGGAGTGGGGTGAGGCAGGGGGGAGAGAGGTGGCGGGTGGACCTGCCTGGTTGCACACACGCCATGGCACGCCGCAACTTGTGCGCGCTGCAGCTGCTGCCACTCGGTGAGGGCCAGAAGGGGTCGGGCAATGGGGGGAGGGGGGAGAAGAAGGCTGGCGGGCGGGGCGGATAGAGAAGGGAATGCGGGTGGAGGGAAGTGGGCAGGTGAAAGGGGGGCAAAGAGGGTGCGGGGGGCAGGAAGGGGGGAAGGCGACGGAAAGAGGGGGTCGGTGGGGAGGAGAAGAGGGAGTGAGTGAGTGAGCACGAAAAGCGGAGAGGCGTGGTGGGGAGGAAGGGAGGAAGGTGACGGGGGGAGGGGGTGGGGGGGTCGGTGGGGAGGAGAAGAGGAGTGAGTGAGCACGAATTGCGGAGAGGTGTTGGAACGAGGGGGAACATGCACCTACGTCTGACGCAGCGAAGGGCAGCGCCGCGACCTTCCCCCTTCCCCACTGCGCCCTCCCCCCGCCACCTCCCCCCTCCCCACCGTACCCTTCCCTCCTCCGTCGTCCGCCTCACCTGGCAACGGCTCGTCGTTCGTCGCGGCGGAGGACAGCGCCGCGCGCTCCTTCGCGCGCACTTCCGCGCGCACAGGAGATTACAGTCGAGAAAAAGGGGGCAAGAAGAGCAGTGCGGGTCGCGGACCGCGGCGCTTTTAAATCCATCGCGGCTCGCGTTCTTTCTCACGAATCCTTCGCGAGGGCCCTCCCACTCCGTTGCTCGAACCATTACTTCGCGCACTTCGCGGCCTTTGCGCATGCCTGACGCGCGACCGCGCGTAGGCGGAGAACGCGCGAGGTCACACACGCGCGCAGCACTGACGCCTTGATGAGCCAACATTGCAGTTGTTTTTCTGGCACAAAATATACCGAATCAAGTCGCCCTCTCCTTCACCCCGCCTCAAAAGTGAGGTGACTTACGACGTCGCGAGACGCGTAAAAAGCGAGAGCGCTAGAAATAAAGCACGCTAACGGCACGCTCGCCTGCTCGTCACACGATCACGCACCTGCACATTGCCCTCGTGTGTTCTAGGATTTGCGTCCGTTACGCGACCATGGGCTGCGGCATGTGCGATGGCTCTACGACGCCGAGCGTGTCTCATTGTTGCGACCCTAGACCTACACGCTTTACACTCTGGCGTCGATTGCCGTGAAGGATAGTCGGTGGCCAAGTGCGCGTAAGGACGGTGGTAGGAAGTTGATGAAACGAGCTAGGCAGGGAGATGGCTGCCTTAGTAGGCTTGGAAAAAGAGTATAGAGTGCTCTCTGGAATTCTCTGGAAATTGCACTATGACTTTAACAAATTTCACACACAATTTTTATAGGATGCATTCACAAATCGAGTCGCACTACCAAGTCGCGACACTCTGAATTTCTTATTGGTAACTCTACCCCTTGAAATGAACCTTGCCGTGAAATTCAGAGATTGATTGCGATGCGGGATTGGGCGGCGAGCTTGGTTACGGGGCTGTAATTTCGTCGGCACCGTTGGCGAAGTCGGCGAGGGGTCGGAACTTGATTTTTCTGCGTTTCGTGATTTTCGCGCGAGGGTGTGGTTTGGGCTGCGTGTCTTCAGGTGGGCGCCCAAATGTTGGGAGGGGAGGCTGACCAATCCCAACCTTGCGTGGTTTGGGAGTTTGCAGCCTCCCACTAGCCGGTGGGTTGGCACTGTGCGGCTGCCAACAGTAACAGTGGGCTGCCGCACTGTTGCATTACTTCCCCCCCCAAGAGGCGACGTCCACGGCGCCAAGTTGTGGGCAGAGAGGTAGCGGTTCACGGCAGTGGCAGCACGGTCAAGGGCATGTTCAGGTTCCCACGAGTCTTCTTCCGGTGGCTGGTTCTTCCAATGAACAAGAAACTCACGACCATGAGGTGTGTCGCGGTGAGCAGTGATAGATGCAACTTCAAACAGGCCAGGGCTGCCTTCGAACATCAGTGGCAGTGGGCGTGGAGCTGGACGGTCGTGTGAAGGTGCACGGAAAGGGCGGAGGCGCTGGACATGGAAGACGGGGTGTATTTTCATATAGCTGGGCAGTTGGAGCCGGTAGTTGACTGGTGAGAGGACTCGGGTGATAGTGAACGGGCCAATGAAGCGAGGGGCGAGTTTTCTGGTTGTGCCTTTGCGTAGGAGAGGTAAGTGGTCCGTGGAGAGAAGCACTTGATCGCCAACCTTGAAGCGGATATCTTTGCGGTGGGAGTTGGCATAGTGGGTCTGTTTGGCTTGTGCTTTGAGGATAGAGGTGCGAGCGGCATCAATGGCTGATTCGAGTGAGGTGAGGAACTCAAAGGCTGCTGGTGTGTGTGAGAGATGGGAGGGTGGGGTTGTTGGGAGGCGTGGGTGCTGTCTGGTGGCGAGGTAGAAGGGT